AAGGTCTGATTTTGAGTCCGCTCTCTCTGTCCTGCCCTCCTGCAAAGGGAAAAATCAAACCCTTACCTGGGCATAGGTGCTGGTGTTGCAGAGCTGCCTCGTGTTTCAGGTGGTTTTCTCTTACTTCTTCCAATATGTTTCATGTTTTGACTTCTGTAGAAAGCTGGAGAGCTTGAGTCTGGCAAACAGGTTGGTGAGACACAGTTCTGACTCTGCAGCTCATTTCTAAATGGGAGCTACAAAATCACTCCCAAGGCAGGCAGTTTCCTCCTTCCTTTTTAACTCTTGTGCCAGTGAATCAAGGGGAATCCTATCGAATCCTATCCTTGCATCAGGAATGGCTTGAAGATATTGATGTTCCTGCTGTATGAGCCCTCCAAATGCCCAGCCTTTAAATCCATGTCCCATGAGGGAGGAGGAAAGACTTTACTGTCTCAAGCTGATGGCAGGGTTTAAAGCCTGCACATGCTCCATGTGCAGTGACTGGATTGAATTGTGCCCATGCAGAGTGTAGCACTGGCTCTTTCTCTCTTCCCTTGCTCTGGGCAACCTCATGGCTCTCCCATCAGAGCTAGATCAAAGCTTTCTCTTGAGCATCATCCTGCAGAGCAAAGCACTCCTGATACTCTTTTGCTGACTGTCAGAACTATATTTTGAACTTTGGGAAAAGCTTGGGGAGGAGACCCTTTGTGTGTGTCTGCCCCCAGGGTTATTCCTGTCACTCTTCTCCAGCTGCTTCTCTTTTTTTGGGGGGAAGGTAACATGCAGTTCTCCTCATGCAGTGTTTTTACTTCTTTTTCATTGCTTAGTTTATTCTCTACTTGCCAAAGGAATTTGAGGATTAATTTGAATTCCAGTGTACTTGAGATACTCTCTAACTTGTCACTATTTTTTTTCTTGGGCCTTTTCCCTTTTCTCAAACCCACAAGCATGAAGAGATTAATAAAGCAGCTTCTTTATACAGTTTATAGCACAAGCAAATATGAGCCATTCACCAGAGGTTACCTGTCACAGCAACACTCTCTTTGTGCTAAACACCATAGGTGGAACATTTCTTTAAAGAAAAGAAATAGGATGGAATCAGAGTGGGTGTTGAAACCACCCTCTGGAATGTGCTCCAGTGCTGGAGCACTGGAGCCTCAGTCCCCCAGGAGTGCAGGAGTTGGACTTCTCTGAGGACCAGCGGAGCACCAGGATTTCTCTTGGTGTCCTGTCCTGTTGTCTCACTTCGCTCTTTCTCCTCTCCAGAAGGGAAAGTCATCAGCTGCACTTAATCTTGACATATGCTCCTGTTTAATTTGTCAGGCCAGACTGAGGACTGGAGCAGTGAAGGAAATTGGGTGCACACAGACAGTCAGCGCAAGGCCCATGAAAACAGGGCCCTGCAGCATGCCCTGGAGGGGTGAATGGTTTCAGGTGGAGTCACAGCTCTGGGGCTTTCTAGTCTCTTGCACACCTGTGCTCCTTAAATGGGGCACACAAATATATAGGGCAGGAGCACAAAGTGGTCTGTGCCTGCAGCTGTCTGTACCCAGCCGGCGGCTCAAGCATCTGAAATCTGGAGTTCAGTGCTGTGAAATCTGGTCTGCAGCTCCACTGCCGCCTGGAGAAGATGAAATTCTTGCTACAAGCCAAGACTAAAACAGCATCTCTGTGGTTTGGTTTTGTTTTCCTCCGAGTGAATCATCTTCCCATGTGTTCAAGGCCATGAAGGCAGCACTGCCACCCGTTCAGGGGGCTGTGGTGCTGCTGCCTCTTCCCCTGGGTAACCTGGGCAGGTCTTGGTGCAAAGCTGAGCATGTGTCACTGCAAAGGTTTGATGTTTGGGAGCTTGACACCAAAAGTGTTGTGCCATAAATGTGTTCTATCTGCTCCTGCAGGCTCTGCTTGAGAGTAATGACAGCATCTGTGTTTCTAATCCAGGTAGGGTCTGGAAGGAGGAGGTTTTGCAGGAACATAGGGTTTGGAAGGAGTTTTGGAAGCAAGGTAGGGTTTGGAAGGAGGAGTTTTTGAAGGCAAACTACCCAATGCCTCCAGTTTGGGCAGGTGTCCTGCTTTGATGTTTGGTGTATTCACTCCTTGACAAGAATTATTCTTCTTAGAGCATCATCCAAACCTCTGTGATGGCATTTGACACTTTAGGATGAGTGATACAGTGGAGTAACTTGCAGACATTTTGAGGAACATCTCCACATCCTCTCTGTGCATCTGGAGGCAGCACCGAAACGTTGCTGTTGGTGAGCCAGTAAATATTTCTGAGTGGTGAAAGCAGAGGAATGAGGCTGGGAAGGCAGTGCTTCCCCAGGGACCAGCTCACTGGCTCATTTTTAGCCCCAGGTCAACTCCAGGCTGACTCAAGCCCTCGGACACAGTCTGGTTTGCTCACATGATTCTCATTAGATGGACGTGTTTAGGCTAAAAATGAGGAGCTTTAGAAAGATGGTTTTTATCTGTGTTTATAGATGCCCCAGGTCATTAGCAGGAAGTTTTAAAATTTAACAATCCTGTTTGCTTCTTGTCTGTCAGAGTCAGCTTGGAATAGAAGGTATTGGCTTCTTATGAGCTCTTTCAGTGTCTCAAGCAGTAGCCCAGCAGTAGCTGGTTTTATTTTAGGGTTATAAATTTCATGTGAAATTTATTCCCCCCCATAAATTAATCAAATTAGTTCTACTTTCTTAATGTGTCCTAGGAGCATTTTAGGAGGAAAGAGAAGAAAACTTAAGTATTGGTTAAGAATGGCAATATCAGGTTGTTCATGTACACTTGGGAAAGGGAGTTTTATGGGAAGAGGGGGAAGAAGAGCATAAGGGTCCATGACTGTCATCAGGCAGCTGACACTGAGTGCTGGATAGGCACAATTAGTGCTGTTTTGATTGGAAAAAATTGGGTCATTTAGCAATATTTCCCTTCCCTGCCTGGCTGAGGGAAGTCAGAGTTTTGGTGGTAGAAACACCCCTAACTTCAGGCACAAAACTTGCTCTCTGACTGTTCTGCTGCACTTATTTAGAAAGGGAGGAAAGTCAAGGGGTTATTCCTTCTCTTGCCAAGAAACTCACCTGCTGGAATAGGTACCTACATGCATGAGTGATGTCATATTCCTACATCAATACATAGTTAATCATCTGAAATTATATTCCTGCATGGGAATGACAGGGAGAGTCTGCACAGCAGGGTTAAATCATATGGAAGTTGGATCAAATGTATGTGAATAGCAGTTTGCAATATGGTATTAATATGATTATTATATGTTGAAAAAAATAGTAGTTCCCCATGGCTTTGGTATCTCCTCAATTCATGAAAGCAAAGTCTGGAATTTTTTTTCTTTTTTTTCTTTTTGATAAAGACTTAGAGAAATGAATTCACAAACATTCTGGAATAAAACAAATGTTCCGGGATGTGGGTTTTATAGCAATACCAGCCCCTCCACCCCAGTTATTCCAGGCACCCTGAAAGAGCAGCAAAGCATGGATTTTCAGTGTGTATCATCTCTGCTTCCCCTTCCACAGATCATCCTGCAAACAGCAAGAAGAAATGCTAGCAATAAGGGAGCTCATTTGTTACCTCACTGGCATTACCAAGGCCTTGCCATAAGGAAAATAAATGAGGCAGCTCTGTGGCAGAGCAGGTGCTGAGGGCTGACAGAGCAGATCCCAGGCAGCAGCACGAGGGCTCAGGTGCCAGTTTGTCTTCTCTGCTCTCCAAAGCAGCATTTGTGTTGTTGGGAGTTGAAGTAGCAGGTTTTGTGGTTGGATTTCAGTGCAGGAGTTTGCCATCTATTCAGTGCTTTATGGGAATACAGTGTCTAATTGCTCTGCCAGGACTCAAAAGCTGAATTTCTTACAGCTGACAGATAGTGAGGAAAACTGTGGATTACAAATTGGGTTGTAATTGTCTAAAGCCCAGCTTGCATGCAGCAGAGAGGTGGAGGATGAGTGTCTGCACCTCCCTCACAGCCTGAGCTTCGGGAACCCAGTGGTGTTCCTGTGGGGGGGAAAGCTGGAGCAGTCACAACTCATTAGTGAGCTAATTGAACGAGGCAAGGGGTGGCTTGAAGAGCAGAGAGTGGGCACCATGATCTCAGAGGGGTGATTTGTTTGGGGTTGTGGACACTGGAGACACCAGCAGTGCAATACAGACCACCCCTAGAATGGTGTTGGCTCCCATGGGAGCTGTGGGAGATCTCCTGTGGGAGATCCTTAGGCTTTGTCTGCTAAATTGTCTGGATTTTAAAAACAAAAAATACCCCCAAACACACCACCATCCCCACCCCAAAAATGTCCCTCCCAGTCCCAAGGCTTGCATAAGCACGTATTCCCTCCTTTTTTTCCTTCTTTCACCTCAAGGATGTCTTATGAGGCTTATTTTAGCCACTGGAGCTGGGAGTGTGGCCACGCTGTTCCCCTGAGCTGGGATGTTCCTCAGAGGCAGAAAAGAAGCCTCAGTGTGAGCTGGAGGTGTTATAGACACTAGAGACTGCACACAGGAGGGAGTGTGTGTGTGGCTGATATCAGCTCATCTGTACAACCCTGGGCCCATTCTGGTCTCTTGCTGGCACTGCACAAATCCAGGGTACCTGTTGCATGGCTCCAGGACATTGCAATCCCTCTAGAGAGACCCCATGCTGGCAAGGTGTGTGTGGGGAGTATTGAGGGGCTCTTAAGTGGGGGCAAAGCAAAGCAAACTGGCAGAAATTCTTTGAAGAAGTATCTTCAGGCACAAGGGGTAAGGAGATGTGGTCAGGGGATGGGATGGGAAGCACCTGCATCCTGAGATTGCCCAGCAGCATCTCAAGACATACACTGTGCCTGTCCCCAGCTCAGGGCTGTACTCTGCCTCTTCCCTGTGGCAGCTCAGAGCTGTACAGAGCAGTGTGGGAACCTTGTGTGACTTCCCCTCACCTCTTATCTGCACCCCTGCAACTGCTCTTTGTGTGCTGGGCGGGGAAATGAGTGTCTGTGACTGTCACTAAGCCTTACCACCTTCTCTTGGTACAGTTGCTGGTGAGAAGAGGGTGCCAGTGATGCCTGGATCGCCCGTGGAAGTGAAGATACAGTCCAGGTCCTCTCCTCCCAACATGCCACCGCTGCCCCCCGTGAACCCTGGTGGTCCCCGACCGGTGTCCTTCACTCCAACTGCACGTAAGACCCCAGTAATGCTGCTTTTCCAGGGACCTAGCCAGGAGGGAAGGCTCTGCTCCTAGAACTCACTGTGGGTATCTCAACTGCTGGTCAGGGCATGGCAAGCAGTAGCCACACTGCCTGGCTGTGAGGAAAAGAGGATTGGGGCTTTCCTGCTGCTCTGTAACGCGTGCAGGGCATACAGCAGGGTCTGTAATCCCCCTCCACCCCCCTGCCTGCTCCTACCTTGCTCCTGGTGCTGCCTTGAGTCCTTCTCTTTGCAGGTGCAGCCTTGATTTCCACCATAAACTCCTTAAGAAATTGAAGTCTTTTATCAGGTCGGCTTCAAACAAGCCAAGTGCTGGGCTTTTCTCGCTATCTTTTGAAGGAGTTAATTCCCACTCTGCTGTATCTCACTTTGCAGGCAGCTGCAGCTGAGATTAGAAAGTTTTTCTTTTTTTTTCTTCCCATTTCCCAGCCTTGAAAATTCCTTGCTGTCTATCCAGATTCTCTCTTCTCCATCTTCTCTTTATAATCCTTCCTATTAAGCTGCAGTTGATCCCAGTCCTGCCCATCTGTAGCACAGCCTTGCACCCTCTTCTTCTAGCAGGGTGCTGCTCAGAGGTGACTCCATGGACAGGATGGACCTTCAGCCTTTTCTTGCAGCCTAGAGAGAGGCTTTTTTTCCTCCCTTAGCCAACATTTAAGCCATTTAATGTCTTATTAAAAGCATCATTCTGGAGCAAAGCTGCTTGCCTTTGTTTGGCATGGAGTTATCTGACCCTTGCACATGGCATGTACATATTTTCCAGGCTCTCCTCACCCCTTTTCCGTGCACAGAGTGTTCCCTAGCTGGTTCTGCATTGCTCTGCTGTCCACAACGGTGTCTGGGCTATCTCACAGTTTCATGCTGGCAGTGGGATTTGGAGATTTACAATCCAGGCTCTTGGAGGACACACACTGATGTAGTGTGTGGTGCTGGCAACAGCACTAATCACCGGGTTATCCCGCCAGACACATTGTCCCCATCTTTATGTGCTGAGGGGTTTTTAATGGCTCTCCTTTTGCTCAGGCAGAAAAAGACCATTAGCAAAGTGACAGAAATTAATTTTTCCAATGAGGATGCTTGGCACACTGTTAAGGGCCCAGAAGCCTGAATCTGCTGATTGCAGATGACTTAATTGCCTCTTTCCAAGATAGATGAGAGATGCGACCTGTGGTGAAGTTCATTCTTGCTTTTTCGTTTCTCAGTTGTGCCAGAGGGTCTCGGTCAGAGTCAGTGGTTGTGTGTCTGCCCTGTCAATGCCCACAGATTGTGCAGGGGAGGAGAAGCACTCTGGAGCAAGGCCATACCTGCCTGTGGGTCACTAACAATGGGTTGGAGAAGCAGCAAAACCTTTGACTATTGAGGACCTAAGGCAGAATTTAAGAGTAGCCCTAGATGATGACTGTGGTGTTTCCAGGAGTTTATCATCCTTCTCCCCCCAAACTAGTAATCCCACTGGTCTTGGTACTCTGCCTTGCTTGTCTTCTCACCTGGAAATGGAGGTCCCAGCCTGGCTGTGTGGTCTGTGGTGGAGCAGATCCTGGCAATGCACAGGCTCAGATAACTGCCAGCTGCCCTGCGGTGACACCGTTGGCAGAGGGTCAGGCAGGGTGGGCCTGAAAATGCAGAGAACAGTTACAGGGGCTGTGTCTAACGGCAGCCCCAACCCAACCCAGCTCACTCTGCTTCTGTGGCATCACCCCAATCCATCAACATCCACCGCTCCCATCCTTGGCAGCCTCTCCCAAGGGTCCCCCACAGCCCCCCGGGTGGGTTGCACACCCCCTACTCTCCTGAGGTATAAATAGAGCCTGTTGCTCCCCGCAGGCTTAATCTGAAAGAATAAGAGGAAGTGAAATAGAGAAGGAGGAAAGCACTTCAGTTGTGGCTGTCAGAGAGCGCAGAGCTGCGCAGCCCTTTGCTGTTTGAGAGGAGCTTCTCAGGGTGGCTTCATCACTATTTATAACACTTTTATGGTGAAACACATGCCTTTATGAGCAATTGCCAGAGGCCTTGCCTTTCACATAGCTCTGGTTTGCTGGTACTCCATGATAACTAACCTGTGGGTACATCCTGACATCCCTGTTGCTTAGCTGCTTTGGGGAAGTCAGTGTGGACAGGAGTTTAACAGGTTGCTTTGCTCCATGAAAAAAGGCATGAGCTCACTGTGCATTTGCACCTCCATCCTCTCAATCCTGGCCTTCACCTTCTCTCTGTGCACAACAGGACATGTCTTTGTTAGCCCACAAAGAGACTGTCACCCCTTGGTTAGCAGCAACCACCTTTGATGGGCTCTGTGGACTTATCTTTCCCTGACATCTTAACTGACTCTGGTTAAGTTTCCCTCCTGTGCTCACCAGAAGGTCCAGGTGTGTGGAGCCTTTCCAGCCTCTGATCCTGCCATGCCCCAGAGTGGTTTAACTGTTCAAGTGCCTCCTGTCTTCTCTGAAAAGCCCCTCACTGGGTTCATCAGGATTTGGTACAGTCCTTGTGAAGCTGCAGTGGAAATTTTGGCATTTTTCTTACAAATTGCTGCTCCCTCACAGCACATACCTTTGCCTGTCCCACAGGCAAGGGGCAGTGCTGCTGGATGGCATCAGAGCTTCTCTGAACACCATCATTGAAATGGTTTTTATAGCTCATGGCCTCCTCTTCAGCACTTTAATCCACAAGGGATTCAGGCCTGGGCTCTTCAGGATAACCCAGTGGATCAGCAACAACTATATGAGCAATGATGTGCTTTTCACCTCTGAAATTCTGAGTTTGTACCAAGCTGGGGCCCCAGCACAGCTGCTCCTCAGACAGGGCTCGAGATTGCACAACCATGGCTCAGGGATGTCAACAATTTATTCTAATCCCTTGCTGAGTTCCCAAACTTCCAGCCCTTCTGTCTGTTTCAACATGCTCATCACTTACAGGAGACAAAGTTGCAGATGGGACCAGGTTGGAAAAAACAACTGTGTTTGCGAAACTCCCTGTCAATCCCTGGGGAAGGATGGGGGTCGGGCACTGGGGCAGGAGATGTTGGGGGACAAGGTGGAGGCACCTGAGCTTCCATCCATCATCTGCAGCCTCCTGGGTGGAAGATGGATCCTGCTAAACACCAGAGCACAGGGCCATGCCCGTCTGATGCTCAGTATCATTCTGATCACTCTTCTGTCTCCCATTTGCAGTGCCTAATGGAATAAACCATTCCCCCCCAACGCTGAATGGGGCTCCATCCCCACCCCAGAGGTTTAGCAATGGTCCTTCCTCCTCCTCCTCCTCCTCCCTGACAAACCAGCAGCTCCCAGCCACGTGTGGTGCCCGGCAGCTCAGCAAGCTGAAGCGCTTCCTCACCACCCTGCAGCAGTTTGGCAACGACATCTCACCGGAGATCGGGGAGAAGGTTCGGACCCTCGTCCTGGCCTTGGTGGTAAGCACCAGCCTGGGCTGCATGGCTCTCCCCAGACCCTTTGGTGGTGGGAGCCTGGCAGCCAGCACGTGTTCCTGTCACACAATATCATCTGTTCGTGTCTTTGCAAGCAGAGCTAGTGGCTGAGCAAGGCTCTGCTATGTTTATGCTTTTTTTCTGGGAGACTTGCTGACTTCTGTTTTCTTGTCTTTGGTGGGTTTCAAACAGCTGTTCACCCAGTGGCCTTGGCACGAGCTTGTGTGGGGCTAAATTTTAAGGAAACCTGGAAGGATTTGGACAAAGCTTTTCTATAAATCATAGACTCTTACAATGGGTATGGGTTGGAAGGGACCTTAAAGATCATCTAGTTCCAACCCCCTGCCATGAGAGCACCCTTCAAAACACAGATGAATGAGTCTTGCTGTGGAATTGTGTCCATTATTTGCAAGTGTACAGACTTAACTGGGAGAAATGCTGTCCAGTGCATTAGACATGGGCCTGGAGTGACATAACAAGTGGAAATGGCTTTAAATTGAAAGAGAGTGGGATTAGATGAGATATTAGGGAGAAATTCTTCCCTGTGAGGTGCTGAGGTACTGGCACAGGTTGCCCAGAGAAGCTGTGGCTGCTCCATCCCTGGAGGTGTGCCAGGCCAGCTTGGATGAGGCTTGGAGCAGCCTGGGCTAGAGGAAGGTGTGCCTGCCCATGGCAGGGGTTTGGAACAAGATGAACTTTGAGGTTCCTTCCAATCCAAATCATTCTAGGATTCTGTGACCTTGGCCTGAGGCCCTGGAGCCCATCATGACACTGGGGTCCCATGGGGCACCCAGTGGGGATCATCCCAAGCTTATCTCTGCTTTTTGGCACATTTCTTTTGAGGCTCAGCATGCAGTGAAGGTAGCTAGACTGCAGCAGCCTGAAGTATTTCTGCTTCCAAGGCTGCTGTAGACAGCAAATGTGGGTCTGTCCATGTCCTCAGAAGCATTCCCAGTGCAAAATAACGGTGTCTCATTTAAATAGCATACATTTATGGGTGTAGGTTAGTACCTTATCTTACCCTTTTGGAAAGGAAGTGATAAGGTGCCCAAGTCTCTCGGGCTGTTATTCTCCCTCATGATCATGGTAATTGTTGCAGGGATGAGTTTGTACATGCAGGCTATCAAATGCTGCTTGTCCCTGGAGCCCCAACCTGAACAGCCCTGGGGACTGCAGAGCAGGACTGTGCTGTAGGGAGAGCCACAGGCTGATGAAGACTTTGTGAAGAGTGGATAGGTTAGATGAGGAGAGCTGAAAGGGAGGAAGGAGAGGAAGGTGTGTAGCTCTGAGCAGCTGGGATCAGTCTGGCTCCCTGCAGCCTGCCCCAGGCCACTGTGCCAGCAAGCAGGAGATGCCAGCTGGGTCCTGCTGCCTCCCAGAGCCAGCTTCTGCCTCCCAGCCTGGGAGCAGGGAGGATGCTGAGCCAGGCAGTGCCCACCCCTCGCCTAGTGCAGCACTCCTACTCCGCTGGCCTGAGCCTTTTTGGCTGCATTAGGCAGGATCCAATGCAAATATTGTCAGTCCTGGAGTGGCAGATGCAGTCTCCCTCCCAGTTCTGTTCAGTTGGAGCCATTTCCCACATGTCTAAAAATAAGAACAAATTGTTATTTCATTTCTGACTTTCTTTTCTCAGAACTCAACGGTGACAATCGAGGAATTTCACTGCAAGCTGCAAGAGGCAACGAACTTCCCCCTCCGGCCATTTGTGATCCCCTTTCTCAAGGTGACAGGGAACTGCTGGGGGTTGCTGATGCTCTATGTGCCAGTCTGTGCTGCTTGGCAGTGTGTCATGGCTGGGAAAGCTCTAGTTGCAAACACCACAGCAGTTTTGTTCAAGTCCAAGACAGACTGCACAGACCGTAGCGGTGGCCATGTGGGACTGGCTCGCGGCAAGCTGACGTAGCGCGTGCCACATATGTCTGCTTGTGTGCTGGGGATAAAGGAGGCAAACCAAGCTCCGTGCAGCAGATTCTGAGCCTAAAATCTTTTTTGCAAATGCTCAGATCTAGGATATTTGAAGGGTTGGCACACAGAGCATGTTTGAGTTGGTTAGACCATAGAATGGTTTGGGTTGGAGGGACCTTAAGACCATCTCATTTCATCTCCTCCGCTATGGATAGGGACACCTTCCACTAGACCAGATTCCTCCAAGCCCCATCCAACCTGTCCTTGAACACTTCCAGGGATGGGGAATCCACAACCTCTCTGGGCAACCAGCTGCTGGAAGTACAGGACACTTCCCACACCACTTAGCTTTTGGGTGCACTGACATCAGCCCATACTGAGCTCCCAGGAAAATGCAGGTTAATGTGACAGTGCAGACAGCAGGAGCTGGAGGATCCTGAGTGGGAGCCACAGGAGTTATCACTCTGAGGTGTTAATGAGAATCAAACCTTCTGGAATAGCTGGAAACCTCTGCCTCACTGTAATCCAGACCTGTGCTTGCTTTCCAGGCCAACCTCCCCCTGCTGCAGCGGGAGCTGCTGCACTGTGCCCGCGCTGCCAAGCAGACACCCTCGCAGTACCTGGCACAGCACGAACACATCCTGCTCAACACCAACACCACGTCCCCTGCTGACTCCTCTGAGCTGCTCATCGAGGTGAATGGCAATGGGAAGAGGCACAGTCCAGACAGGTAAAAACAGCTTTTGTCACTCTGCTAAGTTCTTGAAGTCATGATTTTTGTGTTATCTTTGCTGCTGACAAAGCTTCAAGCAGCATCTAGGCTCTTATCCCTCCCAACAACTATTCTGGCTGTTATAAGACACTGATGGCTGTGCCTCCTGCACTGTGAATTGAGATTGGGTTCCTCTTTCAGGCAGGTTCTGTTACAGAGGGACCTTTGGGTAGCACTGAGAAGCCTGAGCTGGGGAGCCGAGCAGTTTTCCACCTTGCCTGTGGTGAATAGAGGCACTGGCAAGGCTGAGAAGGATGTGCTTTATTTTCACCACTTCTTATTCCAGGATAAAAGTTGTTATGTAATTATGTGGAGCATGCCTGAAATGTATAAAAACTGTGAAATTTTAATTTGGTCATGCTCAGAACGATGAATCACAATACTTGGGCCTCCAGAATCTTTCCTTTGACAGGGTCACTTTGTGCATCGTTTCACAGCCAAGTGTGTTTGTTTGAGCTCCCTGCATTTATCCCCTGGTAAAATCATCACTGCCCAAACTCTGCTGTTTCCAAAACTGCATCTTTCCCTTTCTGAGTACATTCGTGGGGTGCTAACAAACGCCTGTCTGTGCTGGTGTGGTTGCAGAAGGGACGACAGCAGCTTTGAGAGGGAGTCGCTGCCGACAGAACCTCCAGCCAAGAGGGTGTGCACCATCAGCCCTGCGCCCCGGCACAGCCCTGCCCTCACCATCCCCCTGATGAACCCCAGTGGGCAGTTCCACCCCACCCCACCGCCCCTCCAGCACTACACCTTGGAAGATATTGCCACCTCCCACCTCTACAGGGACCCCAGCAAGATGTTGGAGCACAGAGAGATTCGGGACAGGCATGGTGGCCTTGGTGAGAAAGCCTGGAGGGTTTCTCATTGAGCTTTGATATCAGTCCCTGCATGGTCACTTGCACCGAGCTGTGTAATGCTGGGCATGTGCTCAGCGGAGTTTTTGCAGGGAGTACAGGGGAAACAAGTCACCATGGGAAGTTAAGAATAGGGAGAGTGAGAGTTTTTATTTCCCTGTGTATGTGTAAATGCCATTGAGGATGAGGAGGAAGGAGATGGTGTGTGAGTTGAGTGTAGCCAACCCAGCAGGGAAGAATGGATGACAGGAAAATGGGAATTAACTTTCCCAAGATGACTAAAGCAGAAGAGCAGAGTATGACCAACCCTGTCCTGTTTCTCCCTGGGGGCGTATGGGAGGTGCACACTGTGCTTCCAGCAGGACAGCCTGAATCTCAAGCTCTGAGCTCCCATGGGCTTATAACAAGGGAACCAGCTCCACAGGCAAGTCAGAGCCACGAGTGGATTGCAGCAATTCCCAGACAGTGACACAGTTGAGGATAAAAAGCACCAACATGGAATTGCCCCTGTAGAGCTACCATCTTGTGTTTTAAAATCTCAGCTATACGGAGCTGGAAACAGAGCTCCTTATTATCCTTTGGAGCACTGCAAACAGTCCATCTAATCCCTCTGTGGCTTGTTGCAGGTTTGAACGGAGGGTACCAGGACGAGCTGGTGGATCATCGCTTAACGGAGAGGGAGTGGGCTGATGAGTGGAAGCATCTCGATCACGTAAGGAATGGCAGGAGGTGTGGGAAGCTCTGTGGGATGCAGGAACCCAGTGTTCCACCTGCTCCAGTTTGTGATTTCCTTGTTGTTGATACCATATCCAGGCTTTGCTGGTGGCTTGGAGAGGAACAAGCCACAAGAAGATGGAAAATGGGGAGGGCAGATAGGAGCCGTAGCACTGTCCTGGCAGGGTTTATATGCCCATGGTCAGTGGAAGCCAGAATCATTCTGGATGTAGTGTCTGGAGCTGGAGAGCCTCTCCTGCAGAGCACATCCAGTGCTGCTGTGGCTGGCTGAGCAATCAAACCCAGCCTTGTCCCTAGACAGGTGCCAACAACGAAAAATTTAGGTGTGTCCCCTACATAATACAAAATCACATAGCAACAAATTCAAGTGTCCCCATATCAGAATGACATGGAACTGCTGGAGCAGGTCTAGAGGAGGCCACAAAGCTGGTAAGAGGACTGGAGCACTTTCCCT